CTGCAGCATGTGGGATCTTTCCGGACCGGGCCACGAACCCGTGTCCCCTGCATCGGCAGGCGGACTCTCAACCACTGCGCCACCAGGGAAGCCCGCATATGTACCTTTTGAACCATGCCAGTAATTGCATTTCCCTGAACATAACATGCTTTGTCACTCCTTTCCTTATGCTGCTCCTTCTGCGGACTCCCTGCCCCTCGTCTAACTTCTCCTTATCTTTCAGTAACTTCTACTTATCTTCATTCAGTAAGGGTTTCTCTGGGAAGACTTCAGCCACAACCCATCCCTGGTTAGGAACTCCCTCCTGTGTCTGCCCAAAGTGTCACTCACTACCCTGGATTCGAATCATCGGTTTACTTTCCTTCCGCACTAGACTCTAAGCTCTTGTACGGTGGGGACCGAGTCTTTGGTTTTTGTAATCACAGTATCAGGCAAAGAGCCTGGCACATAGTATGTGTTTAATAAATGTTGAATCAGTGAACTTCAGTAGTCATCACAATCAACACGTTGCTGAAGAAAGCTAAGTGTAATTTAGGAGCTGTTTGGTTCTCCATTTACTTGTAATTTGAAGAAAGAATGGAAGTAAATTCATCAGTGCCTCAATAAGTTTGGCAATAAAAAGAGAAGCTTCATTATCTGGTTTTTATTCTGGCCCTCATCTTACACTATTTTAGTCTTTGTTAAATATCTTACATTCTTTTATCCTTTATTAAATATAGAAGAATTTTCTTTTAATAAGATAAATCACCCAGAATGCTCTTTATGTATTGATAAATTGAGTAAACCCTCTCTTCCCCTTTCTTCATGTTTTCTACTCTCAAAATTTAGGTTTTTCAATATAGTTCCAGGGATATATGAGAATGCCCCCATAGCAAGTGTGGATGAAAAATGTCGCATGCCATATCAGTAAACAAAGGATGCTGCGACCATCAAGCCCTCAGCCACTGCAGCTGCCCCCTAAAACTGCACCCAGAGGGAACTCAGGATGAAGGAAAGCAGGATACTGACCCTAGATAGCTAAGGTGCATATCAAAGGAATGTTTTCAGTGAGCCAAGACTCTTTCGTCTTCCCACACATAGAAAAGTGCTAAATTCATTCACTTGAGATGTCTGGTTTTTCTTTAATTAACGGTAATCATCAGCTGTTCTAACCACCGGGTTTTGTTTTTGTTTTCAAAACTCCTACCTATCTGGCTCCTCCTTTTGGCCCTTTAGAGCAGTCCCGAGCCCTCAGCAGGTCGGCCGAATAAAACATAATTCTCAACTTTTAGGTTGTGCATTTTTTTTGCAGTCAGTACAAGTAAAATTAATTAATATTAATTAATTTTAAAATATATATACCTTTCCAGAAGCCATCACCCTTGATTTTTTCCCTCCCTCACTCCTTGTAGCTCATCAGGTCATTAAAGTTTGTTTGCACAGTTCCTAAATCTCTTCAGTCTTTCTGCTTCTCTCCAGACTCCTGCTGTTTCCCTGATTCATCTGCAGATGCCAAAGACCTCTTATCTGAAATCCCATTTTCCATTATCTTTACAAAGGAGATCTGAGCCTGTCACTCCCTTGGATAAACTCCGGACTTGGAGGTAAACTCTAACCTGCTGGCCTTTTCTGTCTTATCTCTCCTCACACTGAGAGGACATCCTGAACTACTTTCTGTCCCTCAGAAATGCCCTGCTTTCTTTCACTTTGAGGCCTTTCCACTTGTCCTTCCATTTCTCCCCTACTTCCTAGCTTTGCTAACTCCAAAGCTAAGGCCTGAATGACTGGGTGTCATCTTCTTTAGCAACAGCTCACGAGTTTGGATTGGCTGTCCTTCCCCCTTCCTGTATATCCTCAAAACCCCTCTACTTGCCTGTCTGGCTTCTCCACTAGACTGTAAGCTCAGTGGAGACAGGAGCACAACTGTTTCATTGGTGTACTTCCAATCCCTAGCATTTTGCCTGATACTTCATACTCACGCAGCATGCATTTTGAATGAATGAATAAATGGTTGAGTATAAATCTATCAGCACTATCAGAAAATAAAGCTCAAGTGAATTCATTAGTATATTGTGAATTACTGGTAGGTATGTCCAAGCTTTATTGGATAAATTGCTAAAATGTGGTATTGCTTTTTGCACCCTCCCACTCCTCCAGGCGCATACCCAGCAGTCGATATCCTTATCCATAGTGTGTGTCAGCCTCTATCCCCCAGGCAACTTTTAGAGATTTAACTCCCACCATCACTTAGTGTGTTTTCAAGTCTTTGGAGAAAACTCATAAAGTAAGTTCATAAAAACTTAAGGAGTCATAGCACTGCTTCTTAGCCTCACATTCCTCACTTGTAAAAGAATTGTGGAAATCAGTGTAAAAGTGCTTTTTAAACAGCCATACATCATATAAATGTAATTCAGAGAAAACTTGAAATAAGTGTTTCTAGTAAATAACCATGAATGCTGAAGAAGTCTACCTTATTGGTGATTTTGACAGTTTGGTCTAGTTATTTCCTTTTCTATTTTATTCCAACAGACATCAGTTAAAGATGTCTTCATAGATAGGGGGGCAGAGTCATTACATTTTGCATTGCCGTCCCATTTTTTAACTGGACTTGGGGACTAAAATTGAACTGAGATATGGTCAAGATAACGTAAGTGCAAATTCCCCCAATTTATAGCTCTGCATGTTGAGTTGCCTACTTCCAAAGTATTTGAGGCACCTTTAATGGAGACACAGATCTTGGTTAAAATCAGGATAGTCAAATCAAAATAGGGATAAAAGAATAAGCCATATTCTGAAGTCATGGCAGTAATTGTAATTTAAAAAAAGAATAGTTGCTACAATTGACTATTAAATTTAGCTCCAAGCTTCCTGAGAATTAAGATAAAGCCTGAATATGATGCGTTAGCTCTCAAGCTGAGCATATGCATTTGTCAGGAGAAACAAAACTTTTTTCTAGCCCTGAACTCAAACAGTAAATTAGAGATATTGAATAATGATAATGAAATAGTTTATGAAATATGCAAGAAAAAATGTAGATGGCCATTTTGCTACCCAAAAAATGGAGTTCGCCTCTTGGTGGGTGTCGAGCCAAAAGACACAACCAAGCCAAAGATCAGGAGAAGGAAGGATTTATTGCTTGCAGCAAGTAAGGAGCACACTGGGGATCTTTCCCAAAGCAGTGTCTCCCCAAACAGCAAAACTGGGGAAGTTTTAAGCTAAGGGTACATGCATATTTATGTAGGCGCTTGAGCAGAGGAGAATTCAGCATAGAATTGAGGCAAGGGTCGACAGAGTCCAAGCTTTAGTTGATTGAAGTCACAAGGGTCAGAAAAGGTCAACATCATCACCCCTTAGGTTCCAGTTGATCTGGTGGTTGAGGCTTCAGGTTAATCTTTACCATTGAAACAGAGCTGGGAGTCTTTACTACTGATGTATTATCTTTGCTATTGTTATTTCTCTTGCCCAATAACAGTCCTACATTCTTTTGTTCCCTTAAGACTATTAATTACTAAGGCCTGTTCAAGGACAAGTATTGTGTCTAGGCTTAGATGACAAAATAGCTTAGGCCAAAAACAGATTTTCTTATGTCAATGAAGCCATGCCTGGTTCTCTTTCTCTGGAGACCCCCTATCCTATCTGCTTACAATTTCTTGTATTAAAAAAGCTTAATTTACACCAAGGATGTGAGTAGGATATGCCTCTGTGATGGCATTTCTGCATGGAGCTGAAGTAATGTAATTGTATTTGACAAATTTGGTTCAGGGTAGAACCAAAAGAGTCTAATGGTGAGTCACTCTATGAATTTCAACTGTTGTCTCAACCTGAGTTTTAATAGGTGCTGGACAAGACATCTCAAAATGAAGAAAAATTCTGTGGAGTAATAGGAAAATATATATGTCTGTTTTAAATGGACAAAGGTGACATTCTACCATAAAAATTAAATACTTATATTATTTGAAGGCCCATTTTTCAGAGGTGAGCTGCAAAAACATCTTCAGTCAGGTCCCAACTTTTGTCTTTTCAGTATTGATTTCCAAGAGCTTTATTCATGACAGGCGTTAAAGAATAAATAGGAATGGCTAACACTTACATAGCGCTTACTGTGCAGGCACAATCCTCAAAATAACCCATGACGTATTATTATCCCCATTAGACATGGAGATAAATCTTAGATGTGAATGATTATGGAAATTAACCTTCTGGTTTTAACTTGTAAACCTTTCAAAAATTGTTTAGTTAATGTAAAATAGCAAGTGTTTGTAAGTTCCACTTTTAAAATTATTTCATTCATTGAACAGATATTTAGTTCAGCACCTTCTTGCTGCTGCAAAAACAACAAAGAACAAAACAAAGACGCTGCCCTCCAGAAGTTTACATTTTAATGGGGGAGACAAATGAGCAAGTAAAAACTGAGCAGGGAGATGTGACTGTTATTACAGGGTGACCAAAGAATGCCTTCAAAAACAACTTTTTTAAGACTTGGCGGGAGTGGGGTACAAATAAAACCAGCTCGCCAAAACAACCCCGAGGTGGACAGCTTCTACTGTGAGTTATCGCCTGGGTCACTGCTCTCCCGGCTAGGGTTTTGTACATAGTTTCACGAAGTTTCCGCAACTATACAAATGGCATAATGTGCTTCAAAAAAAGGCTCCTTTGTTTAGAAATGGAATCCTGCCTATGTCCTGCGCGGAGTTTTTCGTTAGCCGATCTGGACTCTTCCCCAGTTCTGGCTCCAAAGCGGGTTGGGAACCTCCCCTTCTCTTAGCCACCTCGTGGGCGGTGTCTTGGCCTGATGTATGCGTACCAGTGGTGGTGGCGGGGGGCGGCGCCAAAGCTCCTACCCTAAAGTCTTCAGCTACGGCCGCCTCTCCATCAGAAGCTGCTAAGTCTCCCGGGCTGAAAGCCCGGAGGTAAGCCCCGCCCCCGCCTCCTCCCGCCCCTGCCTCCTCCCGCCCCCGCCTCCTCCTCCGCGCCGCGCCCCGCCCTTCCCCCGCCTCCTCCGCCGCGCCCCGCCTCCAGCCCCTAGGCCTGCACCGCCCTCGCCACGCGCTCTTTTCCGTGGTCGATCTGCGCCCCTGCGTCCGCGCTACGCGTCCGCGCTACGCCCCCGCGCCGGCTTCTGCGGTCGCCATGACGGCGGCCGTGTTCTTCGGCTGCGCCTTCGTTGCCTTCGGGCCTGCGCTCGCCCTCTACATCTTCACCATCGCCACCGAGCCGTTGCGCATCATCTTCCTCATCATCGGGTAAGGCGGTTGTGCCGGGAAACCCGGACCTGGGGCTCCCCTCCCCCGCCGGGGGTACCGGCGGTACCTGGCGTCCCCACCAAACGGCTCGTCCTCGTTGGGCTTTGGAGCGGAGAAGGGTTAGGAGGCGGTAGAGCGGAGACCCGACTCCCCTGGGACTCCTCGCCCTCCTCCGAGGGTCGGCGAGAAAAGAACAAGAGCCCCGCGACCCCAGAGTGCGAGCTCTGGGGAAGGAGATCACATCGTGGGTCTCAGAAAACCCTGTCGCTTGGCTCCCGAGTTTTTGCCTAGGGTCCGTGGATGGGCGTCAGTGAGTCATACATTAAAACTGTATTTAAAAAATTGTGGATAACTTCAAATATCCACCTTTTATTTTTTTGGAGGGGGAGGTCCCTAGTTTCCCTCAGATTCTGACAGGCATCTGTAATCCCAAACGAGTTAAGAGCCCTTAAGCACCTGGGGATCAGGTGCTTTAAAACATACCGATGCCCAACACTTACCCCTCCCTGAATCAACTGAATAGGAATGTCTAGGGGGTGGAATTCGGAATTTTTAAAAGCGTCCCAGGTGATTCAGGTGTGCGGCCAAAGGGTAGAAACCTGTGAAAACTTCGCAGCACCTGTAGTACGTCTCCTTGCAGGAGCTTGATCAATACCGAACTCTGGTGGCGAATGTGATCATAATCCCAGTTTTCACCTGTCTGGCAGCTCTTACTGGAGCTCCCCTACGACCTTCTCCGCCACTGAATCTCACTTGGCACCAGGAGAAACAGCCAGGCGAGACCAGTGAATCCCACCTTTTCTGAGCTTCCTCACCTCTCACAACTGTATTGAAGATGCTGCATCACACGTGTCATTTAAAAAACAATAGAGATTTGGGCAAGAGGTCTGTAAAGCTTGTTATAATCATTAAAATCCACAGGAATGTTGTAAAAACCAGGCCTGGAAGACTGATGTAGATTAGAGCACAGGCTTTCAACCTCTGGATTTTAAACCAATCGCTCTGTTAAGAGAGATGTAGACATTTTCCTGGAAAAGACATTTGCACATCAATGGGCAAAGCTTTAATTAGGAAGCTTAGCAAATAACCAAGTTTCCAGACAGACAGTCCTTGGCTATTAGTCTGCAGATGTACTTACAAATAGCAGGGTCACTGAAAAAAGTGATTTTTGAGAAAAATCTCAAATTCCTCTTAGCCTGCATGTTTATTTCACCAGGGAAACTGCACCATTGATTAGGACCAGTTGGTTAAGAGCATCACTTCATGAACACTTTTTTTTGTCAGGAAATCTCTTCCTTCTCAAGCAGGGTTTTTTCTGCTTTTAAATCATTATTAGTCCTGTTCACTTGTAACTCCCCCCCCCCCCCAATTTTCAGAGCTTTCTTCTGGCTGGTGTCTCTGCTGCTTTCTTCCTTCATTTGGTTCATGGCAGCAACCCTTACTGATAACAAAGATGAACCAAGACAGAGAGATCTGCTGATCTTTGGAGTGTTAATCTCAGTCCTTATCCAAGAAATGTTCCGGTTTGCATATTATAAACTTTTAAAGTAAGTTAAACGCTTTACCTTTTTTCCCAGTTTTATTTGAATTATGATTTAGTAGTTTGAAACATTAATGTATTATTGTATTTGAAGGTCCATGTCTTCCTGCATAGTTCCAAGCCAAGGGATTGTACATTTCCAGCCTGAAAATATTGAGTATTTTAACTTGTGGACATTCATTCCTTCCTTCACTCGTTCAAAAAATATGTCTTGAGAATTTGCTCAATGCCGTGCATACCCTAGGTACTGGGGATACATCATGATTAAAAACAGTCTCATGGTGGTAATATTATAGTGGGAAGAGATAGACAACAAATGAATAAACAAGAAAAGACATTGTATATTAAAAGATAGTAAGTGCCATAGAGAAAAATAAGCTAGAGAAATAGTCATTGAAACAAGAAGAACAAAAACTGTTACAGATCAGAATTTATACGCACTTCTCTTTGACATCACCTAAAATAGATAATTCTTATGGTGATTATGCCTGCCATTATTCTGACTGTATTAGGGAGGAACAGGGGTTCATTTTGTGATATGTCGTTTGAGTTCATGTCCAGAATAGAAAAATACATTAAAAGAAAAAAAAAAAGCCGTGGGCATGAGTTCCCTTTTTAGGCCAGAAAGTATGTCATCTGTAGGATCCATGAGGATCTCACATGAAACCACTGTTTTGAAACACAGCTTGAACTTGGAACCATATTTTCTTTCAGGTAGTCATGAGGTTGGCTTTGATTATGTAGTAAGGCTTAGTTAGTAGAGTGATAAATGTCCTATGTCTTCTCATCTCTGCAAATGGGATAATTAAAGCACTTTATGAATTTCATGGATGCAACCAAGACAGAACCTCGATAACATCTCTTATAATAGGCTTCTGATAATTTGTTCTTGCCAATATGCCAGGCCTTCTGTAATTTTTACTTGTTGCTTTTAATAACAAATATTGAAATTTAATAACAAAGCAATTTAAATCCCAAGTAGAAAACCAGGAAGCCGTTGCTTAGAAGCAAAAGTCATATCTGAGAAAAAGTTTAAAAATGAAATTTCCATTAGTTCCTGGAAATATTAAAGAACAACAAATAAAAAACATAACATTTCAGGTTCCATGGGAATCCAATACCCTTAACAGATGGACATTCAGCTGTGGTTGAATGTTTCTGGTATGCAGCAGTTACTACTATTCCAAAATTTAATTTTAACTGTAGAATATATTAAGGTAATAAAAATCTCCTTCTTTCTGACCTCTGCCTTGCACAGGCAAATGCAATCTCTGTCACACGGTTGTCATCTTGTCTCTTTCAAGGCTAAACATTCCTCATTTCTTCAGCTGGCCCTCAGGAGACATGGATGTGGCTTCCAAACCTTTTCCCATCTCTGTTCTTTTATGTGAGTGGACACCCCTTTTTGTTGGTGCCTGGGATTTACCTGTGCCTGGAACCCAGCACAGTACCCTGCTGTGGTCGAAGCAGTGTAGAGAGCAGGGTCCTTCCCACCCCTGACAGGGCACTGTTCTCTTAACTCAGCCTTGGGTTGGACTGGATTTTCCTGTCTCCAGCATCACTGGCTCATGTTGGTTTTGCATTTACTAATTTCAGTAGTTTTTCATAGATCAGGACGTGACTTTAATAACCCCTTAGGACTTGAGGTTCTAAAACCTCACTTACCTGGAGTGGCTAAATGGGTATCTGCTGTTCTTCACTATTGTGTTTCTTCACGGTTTCCACCTGAAAAGCAACCCTTTATTGGCACTAACCTAAGGTTCCAAAGGACTACAAGCTGAACATGGGTTGCCTTTTTTTTTTTTTGGCCACGGCTGTGTGTCTTGTGGGATCTTAGTTCCTCCACCAGGGATTGAACCTGCGCCTTTGGCAGTGAAAACACGGAGTACTAACCGCTGGACCACCTGGGAATTCCCCATGGGTTGCCTGTTTTTTTTTTGGGCTGCGCCGAGAGGCATGTGGGATCTTAGTTCCCCGACCAGGGATCGAACCTGTGCCTCTTGGAGTCTTAACCACTGGACTGCCAGGGAAGTCCCAGAGTTGCCATTTTTAATAGGGCAGTGAGGGCATAGGGCCACATGCAGAAGGAATTATGGCTGTCAGTCTGCAGGCTCTCATGCCAGGAAATTCACAGAAGCCTCTTTGGCCTTCTGGGGAAACCATGTTTGCTCCTCTGAAAGGACCTTTGGAGATTTGCAAACAAATAATAGGACAAACCTGTATTAACAGGTGCCTTTACAAAATGCATCTGCTACAAACCTTTGGAATATGGTACAGTATTTTCCTAGCACATTTTAGAAACGTTGGATGTTATATAGTTACATGTTAAAACAAGTTTGAGAATTATTATGATACTTTATTAATGACTAACATTTATATAGATGCATTTAAGTTGCTGTCTTAGGCTTTACTACATTCAGATATAGGAACTTCAGTTTAATCAATATTTTAACTATCTCCACTGACAAAGTAGGTTTTGAACTTTTAAGTTTAAAGTACTGCCTCAATCAAATTTTCGCTATCTGAATTTGGTGCCAAGATTAAAATGTGGAGAGCTTGCACCAGTCTTTTTACATATATGGAATTGAATCAAAGTATTTATCATTGTAGTCCAATGTAAATTTATTTCATGGCTTAGGTCTTAGGACCAGTACTTCATCTTGAATGAATGAATTGTCACTTTCAGCCTAGCAAAGAATTGCACTGTGAGAAATTGACATATGGCCACACGTGATAGCCCTTTCTACGTTATTCAGAAGGAAAAAGAAAAATCCAAGTTATGGTCCTGCACATTGCCTAAAACATACATAAGAATTTTTGGCTTGGATTAAAGCTTTTGTAATTTAGTTCAATTGTCTTATAATGCTGATACCATAAATATTTGGTAATTTGAGAAAATAATTTATAGAAAAATAATAAGATAATCATTGCTATAATGTCTTAAAAGGCATAAGTCTATTTTAAAAATTTTCTAAAATGGTGTTTTTACTTTATAGGCATATTCCTTGGTACTTTCCCTCTCTTACACACACATATAAAGTGAATCAGAACAAACAAGAAAGGTGGTATGATGTATCATTTGTTTTTCAAAGTTTATATTTAAAAAATTGAGTTTTTTGTTCTTGGAAACAATAATAAACGCAAACAAAGAATTTTCCACTTCAGTAAAATGGTCAGATTAAAATCACCGTCACACACACATACAAAAAATCACCGTCACTTACATCATCAGTTGTGTGACGTATCCGTCAGGAACACGGAAACTGATGGTGTTTTGTACTTTTTCACTTCCTAATGTTGACCCTAGACCTTAAATTTATATCTTTAATATATTTGTGATAGCAATACTTTGTTATACTAAATAGCAAAAATCTTTTATTCATTGCTGAGCAATTTATATAAAACAGAAATCCTCCAAAATTTATTGGTTCTATTATACCATTATATCTGTTTGTTGGTGGAAGTTATTGCTATTGTACAGGTCTCTAAGCATTCATTAGCCTTTAACCACATTCCTGTGACAGGTAAGTTTATTTAGGAAAATGGCACATTTCAGGTGGTTACTGCTCCAGAGAAAGGAGATGACAGTCACTTAAATTTTGGCTCATGTCCCTGCTACCAAATGATGCTTACAAATGGAGAGCACTGGAATGGCAAATTGTTTCTTTTGAGTCTAGAAAAGAAAAAGACCTTGTTTTTTTTTTTTTGGCCGCATCAGGGATCTTAGTTCCCCTACCAGGGATTGAATCTGTGCCCCCTGCATTGGAAGTGTGGAGTCTTAACCACTGGACCACCAGGGAAGTCCCAGAGACCTTCTTCTTTATGCTTATTACTATTTTGGTTGAATTCTGTGTTGCCTTAATGTAGTCAATATTTATATTTATGTCATGAGATAGGCTCACTGTAGTGAATATACATACCTTAAAATTTAATTAACACAATACCCATAATATAATTTCCATGTTCTGGTTAATTTTCTACTCTTAGAGTTAACTGAACTCATTTTTGTTTCAGCACTTGTTGAAAAGTTCTTGTAAAATGTTTGGTTCCTTTATTGCTTTAATAAATATACTTTAAATATAATTTAAATATCCTTTGTGTCAGGATTGTTGTTGCAGACTTTCTAGCCAACAAGGGGTAGCAATAGTGACAAGAGTGGAGCCGGCCTGCCGCAGTCCTCATGCATTTGTGTGGGGTGCAGGGGCTCATGGTCAGTTTGCAAATTGTCCACGACAGAAGCATGGATATGATCACTCTGAAGATCATTTCTTATTGAGCAGTAGTCTAATGTTTCATTCAGGTATTCATTTATCTTCTTTTCTGAGGGTAGCATTTTATTCTCCCCTGATTACTTCTCCCCTGAGGCCTGACTGAGGTTATGAAACAATTAATGTTTTCGAATCAGAAGACCATTTGATTAGGTATCCATATGAGAGTTCACACTGTCAGTGTTGTAGGGTTTAAGAGTAAGGAGAGATGGGATGAATAATTATCAATCACTGATAAAGGTGGCTTCTTTGAGCAATTGTTGCATGAACTAGACTTTGAAGAGAGAGTACCACTTAACGTTCTATGGAGTGGAAGGTAGAAGGGAGAGTGGCAGAATAAGTCTAACCCAGGCAGAAATACAACAAAGTACCAAAGAAGTGGAATAGAAGATACAGTACTTTGGGAAGAGGAAAAATTCAGAGTGGTAGATGCCATAAGATGTTGAATTAAATACTTGCTAAGCTTAGTCATAAGTATTGCTTTTTTTTGTATTATTAAACTCAATCCCTGATGGCTTGTTTACTTATATTCTTCTTATTTTTCCTCCTCTTTGTGAATGTCAGATATAGGCAAAAGTTGGTTGGAAATTTTGGTTGACTTTAGTTAATTGAAAACTAGCTGTGTTCGTTTAAATGGATTTTAGATTTAGAGTGTAATGTGATCAAAAACCTCATTAAGTATCTGGATTTTAAAATATCTTATGTGTTTTTCTGATATACTACTTAAAAAAAATTATCTGTGTGGTTTTATTTTAGAAAATCCAGTGAGGGTTTGAAGAGTATAAACCCAGGTGAAAAAGCACCCTCTATGCGATTGCTGGCTTATGGTAAGTTAGAACTGCATAGCCTCGTAAAGATAAAAGATCAGACTTGACATAAAAGCCATTTTTATCTTTTAAATCTTTGTAGGTTTCAGGTAGTATTTTACTACTGCATTGGCCTATTGGTGTACATTGTTTATTTTTCTAGCTTTCCAGGGCCCTTATGTAAAGAAAAGTGATTGCAGGTGACCCTTATCTGTGTCTCCATTAAATACTAACCAGATTTGACAGTTAGGTTTTTTAACATGTATACACTCTAGTTAACAATTTCTAAGTGATGTTATTGTTACCTTCTTTGGGTTGTTTCCATGACTTTGTCTGTACTGAGAGGACTCTTCATATTAATACAGTTATACCTCTTTGTATTTTTCTTTCAGAACTATGGTTTAAAGGTTGGATCCGGGTCCCTAAATTGAGTCACCCAGATTGACCCAGGGATCCCTCTTTACAATACAGTCACCCCTCAAGCTCAGTTCCATCAAACTTAATTCTACAGATTCTGTTGTCATGAATTAAAGTCAGAGCTACAGTATCGTATCCTTCTGTCTCGCCTATCCCTTTGGAGCCTTTCTGGATCTCTTTCTTTCTTTTTTCATTTCTCTGCTACATTTCACTGACCATTTCCTTTCCTCTTTCCTCCCCACTTCTCTCTCGGTTCATCATTTAGCCAAGCGCTTGCCTTTTCTGAGCCAGCTTTCTACTGCTTCTCTAACAGCATGCACACCGTTTTTCCTTCAACAAAATAGTGTTCCCTCTTCCCTGGGAATTTGATTTGAAGAGAAATCACAGCATGAGTAAGGTTTAACAGTGTTTTCCTTCCTCTTTAGTTTCTGGCTTGGGCTTTGGAATCATGAGTGGAGTATTTTCCTTTGTAAATACCCTGTCTGACTCCTTGGGACCGGGCACAGTGGGCATTCATGGAGACCCTCCCCAGTTCTTCCTGAATTCAGGTATGTGTCTGGTAGCTGTGAATGTTCAGATTTATGATCTAAATGATCATGCTTAGTGGAGTTCCCTGGCTTAGGAAATGAAGTGAATAGAAATTCATGTTATATCTTCTAAAGGCAAGATACTGTTAGACACTGTGATGGAAAGGACCTAGGAAAATAAAAATTACAGTTAGAGTATTGTAGAATTTTAGAGTGTAACTAAGCTTGCATAAAATTTATTTTTCTGTTACTATACTAACAATGTTGCTGTATAGCTGATATATTGTAAGTGAATTTTTATAGGCTATATGCTTTTTTTGTTTTTGTTTTTATTAGTTTATATTTCTCTTCACTGTAGCCCTAATCTTTAGTTCATTTGTCATCTTGGCCGCTTTTTGGAGTGGGAAGTATAATTTAATCTTGAAATTGAGAGGAGAGAAAATAGTTCTTATTTAATGTGAGGTATGGGCTTCCCTGGTGGTGCAGTGGTTGGGAGTCCGCCTGCCGATGCAGGGGACACGGGTTTGTGCCCCGGTCAGGGAAGATCCCACATGCCGCGGAGCACCTGGGCCCGTGAGCCATGGCCTCTGAGCCTGTGTGTCCGGAGCCTGTGCTCCGCAATGGGAGAGGCCACAACAGTGAGAGGCCCGCGTACTGCAAAAAAAAAAAAAAAAAAAAAAAAATATGTTAATGTGAGGTAATGTCATATATCTAAAAACATATATTTAAACATATATATATATATTTAATTTTAACTGTAACAATCCATATTCCCTGTTCCTTAAGAACTGGGACACCAGCAGGAACTTAGAGTCCCTTGTTTCTTCTCACTCCTCCCCTACAGGTAACTGTTGCCCTGATTTTGTGTTATTAAGTCCCTGGGTTAGCCAGGTCTGAAAGTTAGGTTTTTAACATGTATTGATGTTTTACTTTGAAGGTAAAACCTGTAAGTTTTACCTTCACGTGTGTATCTGAAAAAAAAAAAAATTTAGTTTTCTTGCTTTTGAACATTTAAAAATAAATTGTACTATATTCTTTAAAAAAAAGAAATTGAGAGGAAAAAAATAATAGATGAGTTGACCTTTATCCAAAGATGCAGGTAAAAGGACCAACCCATTTCAAACCACTTTTCATCCACCAGATGAAAATTGTCCCCATGATGCAGTGGTCACACATTTGAGAGTTGGTAATATACATAATTAATATAAGCTCTCTCCTAAATTACACAAGAAGAATCTTTTAAAAAATAGTTTTTAAAAACCCCACTGTATTTTTTTGTCTTCACAAGTTGTATCGTTAAAGTAAGTGACCCTATGCACAGATTCTTTTAATTAAATCATTATTAATTTATCATCTTATTAAGAATAAATAGAATCCTTTCAAAAAAAAATTTATCATCTTTACTAAAGTAATTTCTGTCTTCAAGGAGCTTATCATCTTGTAGAGGGAATAAGACCAAAAAAGTGATTAAGCGTTTCAGTGCAGTTTAACATAATAATAGAAAAGATATAAGGAGGTATGACCAAATTAAAAAGGCAAATTGCTACAGTAAAGAATTGAGAGACATGTTGCACGTTATAGTGGTCCCCAAACCCAGTGGACCCTTGTTCATCATTTCAGTTCAGACCTTGGTCTCTCCTGTCTAGATTACTACCATTAACTCCCACCCGGTTAGTCTTTCCTCAACACGTTTTCCATGGGAATCCATCCTGTATACAGCCCCCCAAATGACTCGTCCCTGTACAAAAATGTATAAGGGCTTTTCAAGGCCTACAAGTTACTCAGGGCCCTTCACGTCCGGCGGCAAGTTAGAGGACAGGAAAGTATGTCAATGGAATGGGTCCTACTTATTTAGTTGCGCCCCCAACATAGCAAATTATCTTCCTTTTAAACATTCCATAATTAGAATACTTCTGACAGTCTTAAAAAATTAACATAATAATGAGTATTACATTTTTAGAACAACTGTAGTATTAATGCTAAAACCTGTTAGCATCCAATATAAGCTAATAAAACATACCCAGGAGGGGGTGTTATTGCTGCAGTTTTCTATATTTTCTTAAATCAGTCTATTAGACTGCTACATAAGCATTTTTTTTTTTTGGCTCTCAAGTAGCAGTTTCCTAATGGAACTTATTTTTCTACCAGATTCTGTCACTAGATGGCGCTAATTCCCTTTTGTGAACTAGGCTGTTTTCATAAGATTGGCTTAAAATGATTCTTTTGGAAGAAAGTAAAAACTGTGCTGGCAATTTGGGGATTGTATTTGTGATTTCTATAAATTCAAAGAAAATAAAGTGTTTTAATATCTTTAGCTGAGTTAGGACGGCAGGCTGACCATGCTGTGGATGTATACCTATAGAGTCAAGAATAGCTGTTACTTTATCATGTGCTAGAGTTCATTTGTTATAACATCATTCTTTGGAGCATAACCTTTGAATTAAACATTTAAGAAACTACTTATTGCATTTAAAAATAATAACCCCAAATTTGCATGTATTTGCGTTTATTGCATATATTATTTGTAACTGCTGCTGTTACCATGTATTTAGGCATGAGCTCCTTTTTAATTTTTCAGTTAAATAGTTTAACATACTCCATTATAAATGCCTAAGTAATAATCAGGAATATGGGGTATAATTAGTATGTCTATGTTAGTACAAGATGTACAATATATGATACCTGTATGTACATAGGTTTTCATGTGACAAGTCAGCATAGTTTACAAACTAAATGTATCATAAGTTAATTCTTTTTGTTTGTAGTTGTGTAGTAGGCTAGCATTAACTTTTATTAGAATCATTACCGTATCTTGGTTATTCTGTATACAGGCAAGGTATAGGAATTGGAGTCTTAATTTCAAGTCTTACCCTGGCTCATTAATTTAGTATTTTGGGTAAGTCCATTTGATCATTTAATCACTCATTCCACAAATAATTAAGTATTTATATTTAACAGCCCAGTTAATGTTTATATGTTCCACTCATAGCAGGGAATAAAGACAAACAGCTGATTACAACAAAGTGTGATAAATACTATGATGAGGAAGAGCCATGAGTGCACAAAAAAGCTGTAACCCCCTCAGGTGGTATTGTACTTCTCCTTTGTAGTACTTACCACATTTGGAATTAATTGACCATGCATGCACACATGCAGTATTCCATAGAAAAACCTGTGTGTGCCGATCAAGTTCAGTTTCAGTTGCTTAAGAATCTTGGATAAAAAATGGGCAGAAGACCTAAACAGACATTCCTTCAAAGATGTACAGATTGCCAACAAACACATGAAAGGATGCTCAACATCACTAATCATTAGAGAAATGCAAATCAAAACTACAATGAGGTATCACCTCACACCAGTCACAATGGCCATCATCAAAAAATCTACAAACAGGGCTTCCCTGGTGGTGCAGTGGTTGAGAGTCCGCCTGCCAATTTAGGGGACGCGGGTTCATGCCCCAGTCCGGGAAGATCCCACATACTGCAGAGCGGCTGGGCCCGTGAGCCATGGCCGCTGAGCCTGCGCGTCCGGAGCCTGTGCTCTGCAACGGGAGAGGCCACAACAGTGAGAGGCCTGCTTAATGCAAAAAAAAAAAAAAAAAAAAAAATCTACAAACAAAAAATGCTGGAGAGGGTGTGGAGAAAAGGGAACCCTCCTGCACTGTTGGTGGGAACGTAAATTGATACAGCCACTATGGAGAACAGTATGGAGGTTCCTTAAAAAACTAAAAATAGAACTACTGCATGACCCAGCAGTCCCACTGCTGGGCGTATACCCTGAGAAAACCAGAATTCAAAAAGAACCATATACCACAGTGTTCACTGCAGCTCTATTTACAATAGCCAGGACATGGAAGCCACCTAAATGTCCATCAGCAGATGAATGGCTAAAGAAGATGTGGCACATACATACAATGGAATATTACTCAGCCATAAAAAGAAACGAAATCGAGGGGGTTTCCCTGGTGGTGCAGTGGTTGAAAGTCTGCCTGCCAATGCAGGGGACACGGGTTTGAGCCCTGGTTTGGGAAGATCCCACATGCTGCGGAGCAACTAGGCCCGTGAGCCACAATTACTGAGCCTGTGCATCTGGAGCCTGTGCTCCGCAACGAGAGAGGCCGCGATAGTGAGACGCCCACGCACCGCGATGAAGAGTGGCCCCCGCTTGCCGCAATTAGAGAAAGCCCTAGCACAGAAACGAAGACCCAACACAGCCAAAAGTAAAATTAATTAATTTAAAAAAATAAACAAAATTGAATTATGCATAGTGAGTTAAAAAAAATGGTTCTGAAGAACCTAGGGGCAGGACAGGAATAAAGACGCAGACGTAAAGAATGGACTTGAGGACACGGGGAGGGGGAAGGGTAAGCTGGGATGAAGTGAGAGAGTGTCATGGACATATATACATTACCAAATGTAGAATAGATAGCTAGTGGGAAGCAGCCACATAGCACAGGTAGATCAGCTCGGTGCTTTGTGACCACCTAGAGGGGTGGGATAGGGAGGGTGGGAGGGAGACGCAAGAGGGAGGAGATATGGGGACATATGTATATGTATACCTGATTCACTTTGTTATAAAGCAGAAACTAACACACAATTGTAAAGCAATTATACTCCAATAAAGATGTTAAAAAAAGAGAATCTTGGATAATTACTGCAATTTCTTATATTTTTATCTTCCATTGTCCTTAAAAAAAAATCCAAGGAGAAATTTCACTTTAATGAGACTTGTTTAAATTGAAGACACTCCTTTTTTTTTTAATTAATTAATTTATATATTTATGACTGTGTTGGGTCTTCGTTTCTGTGCGAGGGCTTTCTCTAGTTGTGGCAAGCGGGGGCCACTCTAAATCGCGGTGCGCGGGCCTCTCACTATCGCGGCCTCTCTTGTTGCGGAGCACAGGCTCCAGACGCGCAGACTCAGTAATTGTGGCTCACGGGCCCAGTTGTTGCACGGCATGTGGGATCTTCCCAGACCAGGGCTCGAACCCCTGTCCCCTGCATTGGCAGGCAGATTCTCAACACCTGTGCCACCGGGGAAGCCCGAAGACACTTCTTTTAATTGAGAAAAGTTTCTCAGGGACCTCCCTGGCAGTCCAATGGTTAAGACTTCAAGTTTCCAATGTGGGGTTGGGGGTGTGCTGGTTTGATCCCTGGTCAGGCAACTAAGATCCTACATGCTGTGTGGCGCGGTGTCGGGGGAGGGTGGGAGTTTCGCAATTAGTGCAGAAGGCTAATTTGGAGAAAAGTTGATTAGATATCACAGTAGTCTTATTGCATTCCTAAGAGAAACTCCTTGAAAGCCAGATCCAAGTTGACTTTTTGTTTCACAAATTCACGTTCTAGATGAGAAGCTGTTTCAGAGTTGGCCCCCTGGTTCAGGAATGTTGCTCTCAGAGTTACTATTCAAGCAAATATGTGTCAGGGTCCCACTTCTGTCAGACAGGGTTGAACCCTCACAGTAGTGCGGTGTACCCCAAGAGCGTTGTCCCAGGACTAGGTGTTTAGTGGGCTTTGGGGTTTGTTGACCTGTGACTGGGCACTAATGGTTGCCTGTCTTTCAGCTTTCATGACGCTGGTGATCATATTGCTGCACATGTTCTGGGGCATTGTGTTTTTTGATGGCTGTGAGAAGAAAAAGTGGTACACCCTGCTTGTAGTTCTTCTGACCCATCTACTGGTGTCAGCCCTGGTGAGTATTGCTACCGTGCTCAAACTGGTTTTTGGAGCTCAAGTCTGCATATCTAAAGTGGTAGATTCCACTTTGAATGAAATACATGCTCATAGGAAAATGAGGAAATTCAGAAAAGTCAGTTAAAAGAATGAATGAATGAATGATAGGTAAATCATCTTTCTTACCATAGAAAGATAACAGTTTGTTGGTTGATCTCATAAAAGTTTTTTGGTGTCTTTTTTTGGTATGTGTCTTTCTTTTAATGGGTAGAGTCAAACTGAAATAGGCTTGCATTATGCTTATGTTATGTAACACATCTTAAAAAATTTCCATGTTATTATAAATCCTTTTAATATTTAAGTTTTAGTGGCTTTAGATCATTACATAAAGTTACAGTTTGCTTAACTGATTGATAACTTGTTTTTCTACTTTTGGTTATTATAATGCTGTCTGGAACAACTTTGTATGTGAAACTTTTTCAATTCATTGTTTACATTCCAAGGAATTGATTTTTGAAGTCAAATGATGTGAATATTTTTAAAGCCCTTGATGCAAATTGCTAAAATACTCTGTACAAGGGTTGTACTATTTTTACGCATTCTGATGAATGTCAAGAGTGCCCATCTTACTCTCTCCTCACTGACATTATAATGCCAGTGTTCAAAAGTAATTTAAAAAGAATACTTGACTAGATGTATTGTTTAAGCACTGTTTAATGCTTTGGTCTTAGTTTAATTGTAACGTTTCATATACTTACATCAGAATTATCCCAGCCACTACTTTGTCCAGACGTTTATCATTTCTTACCTACAGTATTGAAAAGCTTCCTTCTGATGGTGTCCTGCCTCATGTTTCTCTCCTCTCCATCCATTTAGAGTTCATATCAGGTTTTCTTATACTGGGCTTCTTGTTCTCTGTTCCATCTAAAAAACAATCTCATTGCCTTTCTTACCTAAAACCTTTCAGTCATACAGGATACTAAAGTTACCTTTAATATGATGGCAGCTATGTAAAGTCAAATCTTTTTTTTTTTAATTTTTAAATTTTGTTTTATATATTTTTTATACAGCAGGTTCTTATAAGTCATCCATTTTATACACATCAGTGTGTACATGTGAACTCCAATCTCCCAGTTCATCACCACCACCCCCACCCGCCGCTGCTTTCCCCCCTTGGTGTGCATACGTTTGTTCTCTACATGTGTCTCAATTTCTGCCCTGCAGACTGGTTCATCTGTACCATTTTTCTAGGTTCTACGTATATGTGTTAATATACTATATTTGTTGTTCTCTTTCTGACTTACTTCACTCTGTATGACAGTCTCTAGTTCCATCCACGTCTCAACAAATGACCCAATTTCGTTCCGTTTTGTGGCTAATATTCCATTGTATATATGTACCACATCTTCTTTATCCATTCGTCTGTCGATGGGCATTTAGGTTGCTTCCATGACCTGGCTATTGTAAATAGTGCTGCAGTGAACATTGGGGTGCATGTGTCTTTTTGAATTATGGTTTTCTCAGGGTATATGTCC